ACCTTTGAACAGGACATCCCACTCATAAGTACGACAAGTAATCATTATGTCTTACAAATTAATGCTTAGTTATTCAAATCCTGTACAGTAATGACAGCATTGTTGACCAGACAAGGCAATCCAATTTAAAAATCATGCCATGGCCTTGAAATACAAGTTTGGCCTTCAGCTAGGGCCCTGATGTCAGGTACAACATACTCATAATTAGTTATTAAAAATCAAAGAAATTGACGAACTTCAAGGCGCTTTAATGACGAAAATCATATTCTGACTTTGGAATACAAGTGAAACCTTTTGTTTTGAACGAAGGACCTGATTCATGCTTATGTCACGTCTTGCCAATATCAGACACATCTATGAATAGTATTTTTAAATCCAGTCAGGAATGACATAATTCTTGACCAGACGAAAACATAAGAAAAACTTTTATAAAATTTCATATCCCGACTTTGGATCTACGAGTTTGTCCTTAGCCTTTGAGTTAGGGATCTGATTCTTGAGCGCGAAATATTGTCAGAATGTTCAAAATATTTAAGAAAAGTAATTTCAAATCATGAATGACATAATTGTTGGCTGGATACGGCCAACAGTGAATTTGTTATGTCCATTTAAGCTACATATCTAGGTCCTATGCTAGACACATTGTCTCTATGCGCTACACATTAAAAACAGATTAAAATCTATCCATTAATGAAAAGTCATGGCCGGACTAAGAGGCGAAACAGGACGATCGGACAGATGAATAGACGCTGCAAAACCTATATGTCTTCCCAAACTGAGGTGAATAAAATGTTCAGTTGAATATATATACTCATCAATATTCAATGGCATACTCTGATCTTGTTCCATCTATTTGTGCATTGCAATTAATCAGTAGACAATGTTAAACGTAAATCTTACATGCATAATTATATACAATGTATAGTGTGCTTCTACCAGATTTGTTAAAATTATTGCCTTTGGCTCTGTCCCAGAGGTCATTGCTTTTCCTTTTTTTAATTAAATCTTCCTGTACCATCCATTGTTTTTTAAGCAACCAGTGCCTTCCAAAGCAGCCATTTACTCCCTTAAGCAAACCTTAACTTCTCTAATCAACTAGTGAATTATATAGCAACCATTGACCTCAGGAATCATTGACTTCCCTTCGTAATCAGTCACTTACGTAGGAACCATCGACTTTCCATAGCAATCATTGGCTTCTCTTTATAATCAGTGACGTACAAAACAACCGTTGCCTTTCCATAGTAACCATTGACTTTCCATAGCATTCCGTGACTTTTACAGCATTATTGACTTTCCTTAGCACGATGCTAAGTGACTTTAATCGCAATCATTTTTCTTAAATAATAACCAGTGACTTCCATGCCAACAAATAATTTTCCGTAGAGTAAGGTTTTTTTGGACACGTGCATTTTACAGATTTAATCATTAATATCAGTTACATAGAATTGACGGAACTTATGTTTTTCATTCATACACATTAATATAGAGTATCCCTTGTTGAACGGTAATTATTATTTCTTTGCATACAAAGGATAAATTATCAAATCTGGGAAGCTAGTGAGCAGTTAGTAATATTGATTTTTTTTTTTGACAGAATCCGGCGGCGAACTATCAACATCTGGTGTAAATAGCAACGAAACTAAAGGATTGGGCAGTATTGAGTCGTTAGAAGCTAAAGTTACAGCTATTGCATTGCTCTTGAAAATTGACGATGAGATCAGTACGGACGTTACAAAAACAAAAACCGGTATAACATCGGGAATTTTAGACAAAATTGAAACGAAAGTAACGTCACTTTCTCTTCAAGTTCAAGATCTAAAGAAAACTAATGCCGTGCTAGGGAAGGTTGTGACGAAAACATTATCCGCAGAGAAAGGTAGTCGCAAAAGGTTCGAGTCCGTATTTACAAATGCAGTGGAAAACATAAACAATTCTGTTGGTGATATGAAGATTGAAACAGAAAGCCTTATTGACAAAAATAGTGATAAATTGATTGAAAGATTTGACAAATCATTTAAGATGATGAAAGACGATACAGTGAATATCAACCAGACACTCAATGAGGAAATTAACATTTTAACCGATTCTTTACATAGTCTAACGGAAGAATGGTCAGGCGCAAACAAAAACGGTAATATATTATTAAGCGATACAAACAATACCAAATCATGTTATAGAACCTTATTTCCATTATAGTACAAGTTACAATAAGGTTTAAAACTACTTCTTTAATTTCCTTAAACTTTACACAGAGTTAAGTCTAAGAATCTGATGAAATGATTTTATTTTTCAAGATCCCATTTCAAGTAATATAGTAGGTTTGATTTTAACCACAACTGGTTTAAGCTTTACGTTTACGAGAACAATTGCATTATTGTCATGACTCTCTTTTCGGAGTCGGCGTCAATTTTTCACAAACTGTAAAAGCTATTCATTTCAAAAATTCGGAGTGTTCATTATCATAAAAGGGTAGAATTTTGAAAGGGAAGCTAGAATAGCTAATAATTTATTATTACATGTATTTGCAAATGTTATGTCCCTTTTTACACTGGTTAAATTCTTTTTGATAAGGTGACGGTTATGCCTTAGAATAAAAAAGTCGTATGTGCATTTGTGTTTTCAACAAACCTGAAAAACTGTTTTGAGCGATAGTTACATATGCTGGATACTTCTTAAACGAAAGTGTATTTAGAAAAATAGCTGAATCTAGCTCAACAGAAAACGCTGTAAAAGATAAACTGATATTTTAATTTTGTGTATTTTGACTTGAGTGCATGTCGTAACTGTACTTACGACTTTTTATAGCAATATGATTTATTCTTTCCGGGTTGTTTCTGCTAATTTGTGCTTAGAAGTATGTTCACAATGTCTTTGTTGACGCAAAGTAAGCTTGTGTATGTACTTCTTTGTAACAATGTGTTCCTGCTGGTTTACTAGTATATTCGAGTGCATGGTACAAAGATCAGTTATCTGTTACGGAAATGTAGTTAAAATGGATAAAAATAAGACTAAATATAATCTTTCTTTTTTTATTAATTGTAATTATTTCAACATTTGAAGCTCAAACAGTATTATTCAACAAGTAAATATGCAAAAATGTGATGCCTTTATATTTTTAATATCTTAATACAGGTTTGACTTGTTCAAATATTGGATTGGTATTTTCGGGATATTGTCTCTTTGATTACAACATTTTACCTCTTGTCTTCCTCCAACTTTGCTTTTAATTATCCCTCACTTTTTAGCTCACCAGAACCGAAGGTTTAGTGTGAGCTATTAGTAGGGTACTCCGGCGTCCGTCGTCCATCATCATGCGCCAACAATTTTCTTCTTCTATGAAACTGATGGGCGGATTTATCTCACATTTGGTCTGTATCATCCTTGTGACAGTCAAACTTGAATTAGCTCATGCCATTTAAATTAGCCCCTTTTAGGGGTCAACAGAGCTAAAAATAGAAAAGAAACATTAAACATTTTCTTCAACAAAACTAATTGATGGATGATCACCAAACTTTGTCTGTAGCATTCTTATGTAGTCTTTTATCAAATTTGCTCATATTAATTTGATTGACCTCTTTTAGGGGCTGCTAAAGCTAAATATAGAAAAACCATTAAACGTCTCCTTCTACAGATCTAATTGATAGATGATAACCAGATTTTTGTCTGTAGCATTTTAGGTAGTGTTTTATCAAGTTTGCTCATATTAATTTGATTGGCCCCCATTTAGGGGCCGCTGAAGCCAAAAACAGAAAAATCTTTGAACATCATCTCCTACTGAAATAATTGATGGATGATCACCACATTTTGACTGTAGCATTCTTAGGTAGTCTTTTATCAAGTTTGCTTCTATTATTTTAATTGGCCCCCTTTTAGGGGCCGCTCGCTGAAGCTAAAAACAGAAAAATCTTTGAACACCATCTCCTGAAATAATTGATGTATGATCACCAAATTTTGTCTGTAGCATTCTTAAATAGTATTTTACCATGTTTGCTCATAATAATGCGATTGGCATTTTTAGGGGCCGCTAAAGCTAAAAATATAAATGTCACCTTGTACAGAACTAATTGATGGATGATCATCAACACTTTTTCTTTAGCATTCTTAGGCAGTCTTTCATCAAGTTTGCTCATAATAATTTGATTGGCTTCTTTAAATGGCCGCTAAAGCTAAAAATATAAATTCCTTTAAACGCCTCATTCTACAGAACTAATTGATGGATGTTTTCAAATTTTGTCTGTAGCATTCTTAGGTAGTGTTTTATCAAGTTTTCTCATAATAATTTGATAGGCCCCTTTAGGGGCCGCTAAAGCTAAAAGTAGAAAAACATTTGAACATCATATCCTACTGATATAATTGATGGAGGATCATCAAAATTTTGTCAGTAGTATTCTTATGATGTCCTTTATCAAGTTTGCTTCTATTAATTTGATTAGCCCCTTTGAGATGCCGATAAAGCTAAAAATAGAAAAACCTTTACACATCATCTCCTACTGAAACAATTGATGGATGATCACCAAACATTTTCTGTAGCATGCGTATGTAGTCTTTTATCAAGTTTGCTTATATTAATTTGATTTGCCAATTTAAAGGCAACTAAAGCTAAAAAAGGAAACACCTTTAAACGTCTGCTTCTACAGAGCTAGTTGATCGATAATCATCATTCTTAGTGGCCCTATTGTTTATTATGAAGAAAAAACAATTAGAGTTGTAAAAGTATATTAATAGAAGGGCAAGTTAAAGTTGAGCTGAACTTCCCGAAAGAGCTGGACTTGCCTTTCAGCAAGTTCATTTAAAAATAATTTCCAACACTGAAACGCGGTTGTTTCTGGTGAGTGACTAAGGGCTATCATGGCCGTCTTGTCTGTAATGTTCTTTTCCATAGGCCACTGGGAGATATTCTAATTGTTAATGTAAGTGTACCGGTGACTAAGAGATTTGTATTGCAACATAGGTAAGTACTTTTAACACAATAAAATGTGGTCAAATGATTTATTTTCTAAAGAAAATGAAATGAAATGGCCACCCTTTTTCCTCGATTCAGCGTTCACAAGGATAGGGCATCACCAGGGTGACTATGACACCGATAAAGTAAAGTTACTTAAATATGTTTCGGTTGAATAGTCAAAAGGTAAACATCCGTTATCATCGGAAGTCAATGCCATAGGAATAATTATGTGTCAAAATGGAAAAAGCAGACGATTAACCATTTACCCTATGAGCATATTGTGAAAAAATTCCGTTTTCATTGAAAATCCTCCTGTAACAAGTTCAAACTGCTACGAAACTATGAAAAATGCTTCAATACTGATGAAATATTGTTGGGGTTTTTTTACATTTTTTATTTTTTTTAATTAACCTTTTACCCCATGAGCATATTGTGTAAAATGGCCGTTTTCATTGAAAAGCCTCCAGTTCCAAGTTCAAACAGCTACGAAACTATGAAAAATGCTTCAATACTAATGAAACTTGGCACAAATTTTGACTAGACCATAGTCTCTGTAAAAGCATGCTCAATCGCAAATTATCTGTTACCATGGCAACGGGGGACGTCTCAAAATTGCCAAAATCACTTTTTTTTTGCATTTTTTTCATCAAGACTGATTTCAAAGTGCTGCAACTTCTCAATGAATTGAGAGAGAGTTAATGGCTTTTCAGAGTCGGTTACTAGTTACCTTAAGATCGACCTGAGGCCATTTAAGTATGTTACATATCCAAAAGTTTCTTGGCGATGAGGGGGACTACCGCCCCCTTCAAACCCCACAAACAGAAGGGGGGCAAATCCCCCTACTAGCAACCCCCTGATGTACTATTTTGATGGGGGCGGCGCCATAAAAGTGATCACTTTTTTAACTGCATTTCTCAAACGAAAAACATTGTTTTGGGTCTAAATAGGGCATTTTTTCACTGTTGGAGGCCTATAAAGGGGGACAAAACGCCGTCAAAACACATCGTAATGAGCGAAAAGATTAAAAAAAGATGGTGAAAAACCTTGAAATTACCCAAAATCTAGTTATATTTTAACACGTGCCCTTACACCTAATTTGGTGAGCATATTGTGAAAAAGTACCGTTTTCATTGAAAAGCCTCCTGTTACAAGTTCAAACTGCTATGAAACTATGAAAAATGCTTCAATACTGATGAAACTTGGCATAAATGTTGACTAGGCCATAGCCTCCGTAAAAGCATGCTCAGTCGTAAATTTCCTGTTACCATAGCAACAGAAGAACGTCTCAAAATTGCCAAAAATCACTTTTTTTGCATTGGTTTTTTTCCATCAAGACTGATTTCAAAGTGCTGCAACTTCTCAATGAATGGAGATAGAGTTCTCAGCGTCGGTTACTAGTTAACCTATTATCGACCTGAGGCCATTTTTAGCCTGTCACATGTCCAAAATTTTCTTCCTCATCCCCCTTCTGGCACTCCCCATGATGTACCATTTTGATGGAAGGCAGCGCCGAAAAAATGGTCACTTTTTAAACACGTTTCTCAAACGAAAAACAGTGCTTGGGGTCTAAATAGGGCATATTTTCACTGTTTGAGGCCTCAAAAAGGGTGAGGAAGCCGTCAAAACACGTCTATATAAGGGAAAAGTTTGATAAAACACAGCTTATTGTTAATGTTTATGATTGGTAGAAATCACCATTTGCTTAAATGATAAAAGAAAAATAATTTCTCAAATACAGTTTAAATTTAAGGACAGCTGACATATTGTAAATATTGTTATTGTTACTCTTGGCTCAAATTTTTACAGTAAGATTTGGTTGAATTACAAAATTTTCTTCTGGGTAATAAAATAGATAACACATAAGTTTGAGAGTAACAATAAAAAAAATATCTCTCGTACAAATACTGTTACCCTCGGCTAAGGCCTTTGTTAACAGTATTTTCTTCGGAATGATATTTCACTGCTACACACAAACCTATGTGTTATTTATATATATTGATCTGAACAAAAGCAAGTTAATACATGGGTATTTAGAAAAAGATAGTATTACAGATGAAAGGAACAATCAGTTATTAATGCAATTCAGGCTGTCTCAATATTGCTATAAAATATATCTGGAACGAAATACATATAACTTTTATCCGCTTCATTATTGTATAAAGCGTTAAAATAATTATTTACCTTAATAACAGAGGTAAACGAAAATATTGCTTTTTCGTAAATATTCTTTAAATTAATTGATATGAATAAAGATGAAATGCTGCATTTTGCAGCATAAGAAGTCTACGAATAAACCTTTTTGATAATACGGAAATCATGATAACCAAATACCATAAAATCCCACTGTGCATCAGTAAGTTATGGTCCTCTTTTAGCTATTTAGAATACATTTGCAAGAGGAAATTATTATACTAAGTGCGAGATTTTAATTCACTTATCTTGTAAAGAATTTGTATTTCAATTAGGAAATAAAACTAATCTAGTTAAATACAATGTAGTCCATTTGTTGACCCTTTGTTACTAAAATAAGTAACCATACTGCTTTTATATTGAGAGTAAAAGTTCGTTCTCATACAGTAACAAAAAGTTATTTTCTAGAAAATCGAAAATGATTTTCATATATTTTAGCAACTAGAATATATTTCGCAATATAACATTGTGAACAGTATGCTGCATTCATTCTTGTTTAAGCATGGAATACTTATGTATCGTGTCAAAGTTTTGTTGATTTCCAGTCGATGGTCAGTGGGCAAAGTGGTCAAGCTAGACCTCATGTGACGTCACGTGTTGCAATGGGAGACAATTACGGACAAGACGATGTACAAATCCAATGACCGAGAATAAAAGAAAGGATTGTATTGGAGAAAGTTTACAGAGTAAACAATGTTCAAACGAAAGCTGTACAGGTAAAGAATAATAGATGAAATAACGCACTTATTGTGCTTGTTCCTAAAATTGATCAGCAAGTTTCCGTTTTTAGCCTGTACGTTTCACACATTTTCATACGACGGAAGAAATTTCGAAGAAACTTTTCTAAAATGTTATTGTCGGAGCTCAGATCGAGCTTGTGTGCAAATAATTATTCTTTTAAAACGCATTCTTAAACGGGAGCGATCGTCTTGCAATCTTTTTCTCTATTAAATACAGACAGCGTACCAACTACATTAAGATAATTTTTCTTACTAAAGAATGATAATATGGAATAGTAAAGTGTAAAATCAAGTATCTCACTACAGTCATTCAAACATAAATGTTGTTTTGCTTAAAATCTTAAAAGCTTAAATTTCCTGTTACCATGGCAACGAGGGGACGTCTCAAAATTGCCAAAAATCACAATTTTTGCATTGTTTTTTTTACATCAATACTGATTTCAAAGTACTGCAACTTCTTAATGAATTGAGATAAAGTCAATGGCTTTTCATCGTTGGTTACTAGTTAACCTAAGATCGACCTGAGCCCATTTTTAGCCTGTCACATGTCCAAAGTTTTCTTTGCACACCCCCTTCTTGCAACCCCCTGATGTACCATTTTGATGGAAGGCAGCGCAAAAAAGTGGTCACTTTTTTAACAACATTTCTCAAACGAAAAACAGTGCTTGGGGTCTAAATAGGGCATATTTTCACTCTTTGATGCCTCAAAAGGGGGGGAAAGCCGTCAAAACACGTCTATATGAGGGAAAAGTATAAAAAAAACACAGCTTATTGTTATGTTTATGACTGGTAGAAATCACCATTTGCTTAAATGATAAAAGAAAAATAATTTCTCAAGTACAGTTAAAACTTAAGGACAAACTGACTTATTGTTACTGTTGTTATTGTTACTCTTGGTTCAATTTTTTTTACAGTAAGATTTAGTTGAATTACAATATTTTCCTCGGGGTAATAAAATAGATAACACATAAGTGTGAGAGAAACAATAAAAAAAATATCTCAGCTCGTAAAAATACTGTTACCCTCGGCTAAGGCCATTTATTGTTTAACTGAATTGATATGGATAATATGAATAAATGATGAAATGCTGCATTTTTGAAGCATAAGAAGTCTATGAATAAAACGTTTTGAGTATAACGGAATCATGATAACCAAATACCATAAAATCCCACTGTGCATCAGTAAGTTATGGTCCTCTTTTAGCTATTTAGAATACATTTGCAAGAGGAAATTATTATACTAAGTGCAAGATTTTAATTCAATTATCTTGTTAAGAATTTGTATTTCAATTAGGAAATAAACTTATCTAATTAAAAAAATACAATGTAGTCCATTTTTTGACCCTTTGCTACTAAAATAAGTAACTAAACTGCTTTTATATTGAGGGTTAAAGTTCTCATACAGTTACATATTGTTATTTTCTAGAATATCGAAAATGATTATCATATATTTGAGCAACTAGAATATGTTTCGCAATATAAAACTGTGAACAGTATGCTGCATTTATTCTTGTTTAAGCATGAAATACTTATGTATCGTGTCAAAGTTTTGTTGATTTCCAGTCGATGGTCAGTGGGCAAATTGGTCCAGCTGGACCTCATGTGACGTCACGTGTGGCAATGGGAGACAATTACGGACAAGACGATGTACAAATCCAATGCCCGAGAATAAAGGAAAGGATTGTATTGGAGAAAGTTTAATGAGTAAACAATGTTCAAAAGAAAGCTGTACAGGTAAAGAATAATAGATGAAATAACGCACTTATTGTGCTTGTTCCTAAAATTGATCAGCAATTTTCCGTTTTTAGCCCGTACGTTTCACACATTTTCATACGACGGAAGAAATTTCGTAGAAACTTTATAAAATGTTATTGTCGGAGCTCAGATCGAGCTTGTGTGCAAATAATTAACACTTTTAAAACGCATTCTTAAACGGGAGCGATCGTCTTGCAATCCTATTTTCTGTTAAATACAGACAGCGTACCAGCTACATTAAGATAATTTTTCTTACTTAAGCATGATAATATGGAATAGTAAAGTGTAAAATCAAGTACCTCACTACAGTCCTTCAAACATAAATGTTGTGTTGCTTAAAAATATTATAATTATCTACTACACAAACTTTTCTATCTCCAACGTTTCGAGGGGTTAAACCCCTCTTTATCAAGGAGTTACTGTTTATTTTTATATAAATCACATATTTATCTTCTTACATGTCTTATCTTTAACTATGTTATGCATACAGGAAATGACGTCGTTGACGTCAACAATAAAAATTACGCAAAATATGATGATGACGTTTTCCGTCAACATTGTTCCACTGCATAACGTTGCTCCCCTTATTTAATATTATTTATAATATTACCATAGCAAGAATTATGAAACTTATTTCATTGAAAATACATTAAAAATAATAATAATTATTATTATTATTAAAAATTTTGCTACTAAAACATTCCAATAATATTTATATGTGAGAAGTTAGCAGCGAACAGCGAGCCAAGCAAAAAGGCATCTCAATTTAAGTGCGCTGCTAACTTCTCACATATAAATATTATTGGAATGTTTTAGTAGCAAAATTTTTAATAATAATAATAATTATTATTATTTTTAATGTATTTTCAATGAAATAAGTTTCATAATTCTTGCTATGGTAATATTATAAATAATATTAAATAAGGGGAGCAACGTTATGCAGTGGAACAATGTTGACGGAAAACGTCATCATCATATTTTGCGTAATTTTTATTGTTGACGTCAACGACGTCATTTCCTGTATGCATAACATAGTTAAAGATAAGACATGTAAGAAGATAAATATGTGATTTATATAAAAATAAACAGTAACTCCTTGATAAAGAGGGGTTTAACCCCTCGAAACGTTGGAGATAGAAAAGTTTGTGTAGTAGATAATTATAAATTAACTGTTTCCAGATAGAAATTAAAAATATTAAAATCGTAAATTTCCTGTTACCATGGCAACGAGGGGTACCTTTCAAAATTGCCAAATAGCACTATTTTTGTATTGTACTTTTTTTCATGAAGACTGATTTCAAAGTGCTGCAACTTCTAAATAAATTAAGAAAAATTTAATGGCTTTTGAGCGTCGGTTGCTAGTTAACATAAGATCGACCTGAGGCCATTGTTAGCCTGTCACATGTCCAAAATTTTCTGCGCACACCCCCCTTCTGGCAACCCCCTGATGTACCATTATGATGGAGGGCGGCGCCGAAAAGGTGGTCACTTTTTTAACAACATTATTCAAACGAAAAACAGTGCTTTGGGTCTAAATAGGGCATATTTTCACTGTTTGAGGCATCAAAAAAGGGGGGATGGGCAAAAAGCCGTCAAAACACGCCTATATGAGGGAAAAGTTTAATAAAACACAGCTTATTGTAATGTTTATGACTGGTAGAAATCACAGATTGTTTAAATGATAAAAGAAAAATAATTTCTCAAGTACAGTAAAAACTTAAGGACAGCTGCCTTATTGTTACTAATGTTATTGTTACTCTTGGTTCAATTATTTAACAGTAAGATTTAGTTGAATTACAATATTTTCTTCGGGGTAATAAAATAGATAACACATATGTTTGAAAGAAACAATAAAAAAATATCTCTCGTAAAAATACTGTTACCCTCGGCTACGGCCTTGGGTAACAGTACTTTCCTCGGAATGATATTTACTGCTTATCACAAACCTATGTGTTATTTATATACATGTATATTGATCTGAACATAAGCAAGTTAATACATGGGTATTTAGAAAAAGATACTATTACAGATGAAGGGAACAAACAGTTATTAATGCAATTCGGACTGTTCAAATATTGCTAGAAAATATATCTTGAAATATAACTTTTATCCGTTTATTATTGTATAAAGCTTTAAAAATCATCATTTAATACTTTAATAACAGAGGTAAACGAAAATATTGCCTTTTCTTTATCATTATTTAAATGAATTGAAATGGATAAATGATGAAATGCTGCATTTCTGAAACATAAGAAGTCTATGAATAAAACTGTTTGAGTATAACGGAAATCATGATAACCAAATACCATAAAATGCCACTGTGCTTCAGTAAGTTATGGTCCTAATTTACCTATTTAGAATACATTTGCAAGAGGAAATTATTATACTAAGTGCGAGATTTAAATTCAATTATCTTGTCAAGAATTTGTATTTCAATTAGGAAATAAAACTAATCTAGTTAAATACAATGTAGTCCATTTGTTGACACTTTGTTACTAAAATAAGTAACCATACTGCTTTTATATTGAGGATAAAAGTTCTCATACAGTTACATATTGTTATTTTCGCGAAAATGATTATCATATATTTGAGCAACTAGAATATATTTCGCAATATAACATTGTGAACAGTATGCTGCATTCATTCTTGTTTAAGCATGGAATACTTATGTATCGTGTCAAAGTTTTGTTGATTTCCAGTCGATGGTCAGTGGGCAAAGTGGTCAAGCTGGACCTCATGTGACGTCACGTGTGGCAATGGGAGACAATTACGGACAAGACGATGTACAAATCCAATGCCCGAGAATAAAGGAATGGATTGTATTGGAGAAAGTTTACAGAGTAAACAATGTTCAAACGAAAGCTGTACAGGTAAAGAATAATAGATGAAATAACGCACTTATTGTGCTTGTTCCTAAAATTGATCAGCAAGTTTCCGTTTTTAGCCTGTACGTTTCACACATTTTCATACGACGGAAGAAATTTCGAAGAAACTTTATAAAATGTTATTGTCGGAGCTCAGATCGAGCTTGTGTGCGAATAATTATTCTTTTAAAACGCATTCTTAAACGGGAGCGATCGTCTTGCAATCTTTTTCTCTATTAAATACAGACAGCGTACCCACTACATAAAGATAATTTTTCTTACTTAAGCATGATAATATGGAATAGTAAAGTGTAAAATCAAGTACCTCACTACAGTCCTTCAAACATAAATGTTGTGTTGCTTAAAAATATTAAAATCGTAAATTTCCTGTTACCATGGCAACGAGGGGTACCTCTCAAAATTGCCAAAAATCACTATTTTTGTATTGTATTTTTTTCATCAAGACTGATTTCAAAGTGCTGCAACTTCTAAATAAATTAAGAAAAATTTAATGGCTTTTGAGCGTCGGTTGCTAGTTAACATAAGATCGACCTGAGGCCATTGTAAGCCTGTTACATGTCCAAAATTTTCTGCGCACACCCCCCTTCTGGCAACCCCCTGATGTACCATTATGATGGAGGGCGGCGCCGAAAAGGTGGTCACTTTTTTAACAACATTATTCAAACGAAAAACAGTGCTTTGGGTCTAAATAGGGCATATTTTCACTGTTTGAGGCATCAAAAAAAGGGGGGATGGGCAAAAGCCGTCAAAACACGCCTATATGACGGAAAAGTTTAATAAAACACAGCTTATTGTAATGTTTATGACTGGTAGAAATCACAGATTATTTAAATGATAAAAGAAAAATAATTGCTCAAGTACAGTAAAAACTTAAGGACAGCTGACTTATTGTTACTATTGTTATTGTTACTCTTGGTTCAATTATTTAACAGTAAGATTTAGTTGAATTACAATATTTTCTTCGGGGTAATAAAATAGATAACACATATGTTTGAAAGAAACAATAAAAAAAAATATCTCTCGTAAAAATACTGTTACCCTCGGCTACGGCCTTGGGTAACAGTACTTTCCTCGGAATGATATTTTACTGCTTATCACAAACCTATGTGTTATTTATATACATGTATATTGATCTGAACATAAGCAAGTTAATACATGGGTATTTAGAAAAAGATACTATTACAGATGAAGGGAACAAACAGTTATTAATGCAATTCGGACTGTTCAAATATTGCTAGAAAATATATCTTGAAATATAACTTTTATCCGTTTATTATTGTATAAAGCTTTAAAAATCATCATTTAATACTTTAATAACAGAGGTAAACGAAAATATTGCCTTTCCTCTATCATTATTTAAATGAATTGAAATGGATAAATGATGAAATGCTGCATTTTTGAAGCATAAGAAGTCAATGAATAAAACTGTTTGAGTATAACGGAAATCATGATAACCAAATACCATAAAATGCCACTGTGCTTCAGTAAGTTATGGTCCTAATTTACCTATTTAGAATACATTTGCAAGAGGAAATTATTATACTAAGTGCGAGATTTAAATTCAATTATCTTGTCAAGAATTTGTATTTCAATTAGGAAATAAAACTAATCTAGTTAAATACAATGTAGTCCATTTGTTGACACTTTGTTACTAAAATAAGTAACCATACTGCTTTTATATTGAGGATAAAAGTTCTCATACAGTTACATATTGTTATTTTCTCGAAAATGATTATCATATATTTGAGCAACTAGAGTATATTTCGCAATATAACATTGTGAACAGTATGCTGCATTCATTCTTGTTTAAGCATGGAATACTTATGTATCGTGTCAAAGTTTTGTTGATTTTCAGTCGATGGTCAGTGGGCAAAGTGGTCAAGCTGGACCTCATGTGACGTCACGTGTGGCAATGGGAGACAATTACGGACAAGACGATGTACAAATCCAATGCCCGAGAATAAAGGAAAGGATTGTATTGGAGAAAGTTTACAGAGTAAACAATGTTCAAAAAAAAGCTGTACAGGTAAAGAATAATAGATGAAATAACGCACTTATTGTGCTTGTTCCTAAAATTGATCAGCAAGTTTCCGTTTTTAGCCTGTACGTTTCACACATTTTCATACGACGGAAGAAATTTCGAAGAAACTTTTCTAAAATGTTATTGTCGGAGCTCAGATCGAGCTTGTGTGCAAATAATTATTCTTTTAAAACGCATTCTTAAACGGGAGCGATCGTCTTGCAATCTTTTTCTCTATTAAATACAGACAGCGTACCAACTACATTAAGATAATTTTTCTTTCTAAAGAATGATAATATGGAATAGTAAAGTGTAAAATCAAGTACCTCACTACAGTCATTCAAACATAAATGTTGTTTTGCTTAAAATCTTAAAAGCTTAAATTTCCTGTTACCATGGCTACGAGGGGACGTCTCAAAATTGCCAAAAATCACAATTTTTGCATTGTTTTTTTTACATCAATACTGATTTCAAAGTACTGCAACTTCTTAATGAATTGAGATAAAGTCAATGGCTTTTTCATCGTTGGTTACTAGTTAACCTAAAATCGACCTGAGCCCATTTTTAGCCTGTCACATGTCCAAAGTTTTCTTTGCACACCCCCTTCTTGCAACCCCCTGATGTACCATTTTGATGGAAGGCAGCGCGAAAAAGTGGTCACTTTTTTAACAACATTTCTCAAACGAAAAACAGTGCTTGGGGTCTAAATAGGGCATATTTTCACTCTTTGATGCCTCAAAAAGGGGGGGGGGGCAAAAAGCCGTCAAAACACGTCTATATGAGGGAAAAGTATTAAAAAAACACAGCTTATTGTAATGTTTATGACTGGTAGAAATCACCATTTGCTAAAATGATAAAAGAAAAATAATTTCTCAAGTACAGTTAAAACTTAAGGACAAACTGACTTATTGTTACTGTTGTTATTGTTACTCTTGGTTCAATTTTTTTTACAGTAAGATTTAGTTGAATTACAATATTTTCCTCGCGGTAATAAAATAGATAACACATATTAAGTTTGAGAGAAACAATAAAAAAAATATTTCAGCTCGTAAAAATACTGTTACCCTCGGCTAAGTCCATTTATTGTTTAACTGAATTGATATGGATAATATGAATAAATGATGAAATGCTGCATTTTTGAAGAATAAGAAGTCTATGAATAAAACGTTTTGAGTATAACGGAATCATGATAACCAAATACCATAAAATCCCAATGTGCATCAGTAAGTTATGGTCCTCTTTTAGCTATTTAGAATACATTTGCAAGAGGAAATTATTATACTAAGTGCAAGATTTTAATTCAATTATCTTGTCAAGAATTTGTATTTCAATTAGGAAATAAACTTATCTAATTTAAAAAATACAATGTAGTCCATTTGTTGACCCTTTGTTACTAAAATAAGTAACCAAACTGCTTTTATATTGAGGGTTAAAGTTCTCATACAGTTACATATTGTTATTTTCTAGAATATCGAAAATGATTATCATATATTTGAGCAACTAGAATATGTTTCGCAATATAAAACTGTGAACAGTATGCTGCATTGATTCTTGTTTAAGCATGAAATACTTATGTATCGTGTCAAAGTTTTGTTGATTTCCAGTCGATGGTCAGTGGGCAAAGTGGTCCAGCTGGACCTCATGTGACGTCACGTGTGGCAATGGGAGACAATTACGGACAAGACGATGTACAAATCCAATGCCCGAGAATAAAGGAAAGGATTGTATTGGAGAAAGTTTACAGAATAAACAATGTTCAAAAAAAAGCTGTACAGGTAAAGAATAATAGATGAAATAACGCACTTATTGTGCTTGTTCCTAAAATTGATCAGCAATATTCCGTTTTTAGACCGTACGTTTCACACATTTTCATACGACGGAAGTACTTTCGTAGAAACTTTTTTAAAATGTTATTGTCGGAGCTCAGATCAAGCTTGTGTGAAAATAATTAACACTTTTAAAACGCATTCTTAAACGGGAGCTATCGTCTTGCAATCCTATTCTCTGTTAAATACAGACAGCGTACCAACTACATCAAGAGAATTTTTCTTACTTAAGCATGATAATATGGAATAGTAAAGTGTAAAATCAAGTACCTCACTACAGTCCTTCAAACATAAATGTTGTTTTACTTAAAAGCTTAAATTTCCTGTTACCATGGCAACGGAGGGACGTCTCAAAATTGCCAAAAGTCACTATTTTTGCATTGTTATTTTTTTCATCAAGACTGATTTCAAAGTGCTGCAACTTCTCATTGAATTGAGATAGAGTTAAAGGTTTTTCAGCGTCGGTTTCTAGTTAACCTAAGATCGACCTGAGGCCATTTTTAGCCTGTCACATGTCCAAAATTTTCTTGGCATATCCCCCTTTTGTCTACCCCATGATGTACCATTTTGATGGAGGACGGCGCCGAAAAAGTGGTTACTTTTTTAACAACATTTTTCAAACGAAAAACAGTGCTTGGGGTCTAAATAGGGCATATTTTCACTGTTTGAGGCCTCAAGGGGGGGGGCAAAAAAGCCGTCAAAACACGTCTATATGAGGGAAAAGTTTAATAAAACGAAAGATAGTATTACAGATGAAGGAAACAAACAGTTATTAATGCAATTGAGACTGTTCTAATATTGTTAGAATATATATCTTGAACGAAATACATATAACTTTTATCTGCTCCATAATTGTATAAAGCTTTAAAAATCATTATTTACTTAAATAACAGAGGTATACGAAAAAATTGCTTTTCTTTATTATTGTTTAAATGAATGTTGATATAAAAAATTATGAAATGGCTTTTTTTCGGTATATTTATATACATCAATCGTTCGGCCAACTAATACCTCAAATATTAATTCTCTTTTCAATATATGGCGGATGTTTGTTTCTTTTGAGAGAATACGCGATTAAAATGTGATTTGTCCTACTCTGATGAGTAATATATATCATTTGCCCGAAAAACCAACATATTTTTATAGCATTACATTTTTATACATAAGAAGTAAAACAACAGAAATTTTGACAATTTTCGTTGAAGAGCGGGACTAGGACACATGCAAAGATGACGTCATACGTTCGACAGTTACGAAAATACTGCAAAAATTATTCAAGTTTTTGGTCAACATTGCTTTGAACATTTTTAGAGAAATAATGATATTTGAATCATGATATGTGTCATTTAGAATAAAACACACCAATTAGCTTTCACGTTAATTTACAAAATATACGGATTATAAACAGGTATACAGTGATAACAGTGATATGGACTTTATCACACGGGTAAAACACAGTTTCTAACTTGTTAATATAAAATAATGTAAGGTTATGATATATAGTTAGTATAATACTGAATTCTATTGGACAATGTCAGAGCTGTCAAAATTATCGGTGCTATCCGAGTCCGGTATAGATTATGTAGCTGTGTTATCAGTATCGTTCTCATCAATGTGAATGTCCTCATTATTTAATACCACATTCTTTGACATTTTTACAGAACTTTGTTCCTGTAATTACAATATACATTTGATATTGATTTTTGGGACCTCTAAAAATTGTATCCGGTGCAATATGCATTAGAATTAAACTCTTTGGACTGATACATTTTATATTCCTTTGATATTAATGTTTGTCAGGTCTGTGTGTAAGTGAATACTAGTTTTTGAACTTGCTTTAAGGTAAGCCAGTATCAAACGTCCCATATATTACATTACATTGTCATAATCGAGTTGAATTATGGGAAAAGCTTAAATTTGTCTTACCAGTCACATAAAAGACGGCATATTGTCTCGCAGGTTTGACATCTTTCTGAGTTGATATATGATTAACAATGTATAGTGTTTTACCCCGAAAGACTGTGAGCGTATTATACGTGCATTTTATAGCATAAGAAGTATATGAGTGAGATTATTTTGAGAACTAAAGATATTATGATTACCATACCATAAAAATCGCACTGTGCAGGCACACTTTGCCTCAGGAATTCATATTTTTTTACATTCCTTTGAAATGCTTTTTAATATTTTTTGTGAATGGATAAAGAGAATAAAACATGTTTTTCTGCTGAAGAAATAGCACTGAACATGAAGTAATGTGTGTAAAGGTAGCAAAATGTAAAAAAAGTAGTATTTTGACTTCCATATAAAATACCAATTCACCATAATTAAACCAATTGCCAACATAACAAAAGCGGCAAAAGATAGTTTATGTATATGGCAAATGAGTATTGTTTTTAAAACTGTATAATAATAATAAAATAAAAAGGTTTTTGAGAAATAAAATAAGATAGCACTTCTGACGCATACTGTGCCTTTAAGCTTTTTTTGAAATACATTTGTAAGAGGAAATAATTATACTAATTGCGAGATTTTAATTCAATTATCTTGTCAAGAATTTGTATTTAAATAAGGGGAAAAACTCGTCTAATTAAATACAAGGTATTCCATTCGTGGACCCTTCGTTTATCAAATAAGTAATCATACTGATTTTATATTGAAGGTAAAAGTAACATGAAGTTATTTTCTAGAAAACCGAAAATGGTCATCATATAGAACGATTTGAGCAACAAGTATCTATTTTGAAATATGAAATTGTGACGCTGTATTTATTCTTGTTTAAGCATGCAATACTTGTGTCGTGTCAAATGTTTTGTTAATTTGTTGATTTCCAGTCGATGGTCAGTGGGCAAACTGGTCCAGCTGGACCTCATGTGACGTCACGTGTGGCAATGGGAGACAATTACGGACAAGACGATGCACAAATCCAATGCCCGAGAATAAAGGAAGGGATTGTATTGGAGAAAGTCTACAGATTAATCGGTGTTCAAAAGAAAGCTGTACAGGTAAAAATTAATAGATGAAATAACGCGCCAATTGTGTTTGTTCCTACCACAGACGCATGGGGTTAGATCCTACCCCAACACGATATGCCCCTGTAAATACTCCATCAAAACTATTTTAATATTTAAACACGAATGGGACATATGTTACAAAGATAAAACTGGTTTTCAAACTTTTTACATACTAGTACATGAAAAAATACCGTATACCATCAAGGCTCAATACGCCCCCAACGTCATATGCCCCTGTAAACACTCTATCAAAACTTCTTTAATATTTTTAACACGAATGGGACATCTGTTACAACATTAAAACTGGTTTTTACACATTTTTATATGACAAAATACCGTATACCATCAAGTCTCAATAAAGTTAAGATTGCGAACGCGACCTGAGCCTAGCATATGTCTGCGCTCTCGTTTCGCTTTTTTGAGCCGGGACCAAACACTATAATTTTCTCACGACGAAATTTGTATCAAAATCGTCACTTTCGGGAGACCCAATATGACCGCCAAATTCAAATATCTATATTGTACATTATATAGAATAACAAACTTGGGAAACAACACACTGTGCATCTTGGTATTAGTGTTATTACAAATAATTGTCTTTAAAACGAGCGCTTGCAGACAGATAACCCCGGAACATGACGACAGAATGCTCAAATAGTCGACAGCATGTACACCGTTTATTTACCGGCTTGACAAGCGCTCTACGCAAGACCGGGAACTCTGGACAGAACGCAAAATTTATTTTCGGTTTTTCTATTGATTTACACCAGAAAAGTCGCGATAAGCTTTATCTAATAATGATTTATTCCCTGCGGGCCGGGGCCCGCAGGGTATTGGTACGCGTTTAATTTTTGATGCATGGAGGAGCACGTGACCTGTTTTCGGTACATGGAGGAGCATGTGATCTATTTACCGTACATGATTGGTTAATTGACCATTTCGAAAACCTAGCTAAATACCGTTCGCCGGTACGTTACGGATTTACCTCGAATTACACAATAAACTATTACGTGATATTTCCAATTTTCTATAATTATTTTAACGTTTAAGGTGAAAAATCTTGTATGATGTGTTTGAAAAAAAATATTATCAATGTTTCTTTAATATCTATCTCAAATTTTACAAACAATAAATTGTTTATAGTGAAAATCTACTCAATTAAAACATTCGTGGTTGCATCTGCGATAATAAATAGAGATATTTTCTGTGTAAACTTGTGTGTTATCTTTATTTTTGCACGGAATTATTCATACAATGGTATTTAATCATTTTCTTAAAAAGAAATATCGTAATGGTTTTATGTTCGACATTCTCTCCGGTCGCCGGTCTTCAACGGTCACCAGTCTCCATAGACCTTCTTCTATTGATCGATTATTTTCAACTATATTACTGATACAAACGTTTATTTATTTTTTCCCCAAACAATGTTGAAAATAGTTAAATGAAATATCTTTATATCATTAAAAATGTTTCCCGCAGGAAACCATTTTACTTGTACGGTTTTATTAGTGTTTACATTTTGGAGTCTGCAATCTTGGGTCGGTCTAAAACTCAGACGCTTATGCAGAGAATATAGGATATATAGTAAAACGCAGACAATATAGATATAGAGTGTTTTCACAAAACGCAGACAATATAGAATAAGAAGGTGTAAATAAGACACTAAAAAGATGTTTAGATTTGTATTTTTAAGATTGGATAATTGGATCAAAAACCAACACAAATTAAGTATCAAAACATATTTCGCTTTATTCAGCTTCCTCAGTTAATACATAAATAAAAATGACGTAAACGTACAAAACAAACGTCTACGTTAATAGACGTCACATTTGGCGCGTAAAAGGAACGTTATAATATTACAATAAGTAATACAATAAAACATGTGTATATGTATTATTTTTAAGATTAAAATTTTAAGATATTAGAGATTTGTAGGTATGAATATTTGATAATAAATTAGAACTTAAAAATAAAATATTTTTTTATGATTTTTTATTACTTGCAAAGAAACGCAGACAATATAGATATATAGTGAAAATGAATTTTCCAGACATGTATTTCTTTTATTAACAGTGTAAAACATACAGTAAAATGCAGACGATATAGAGTATATAGTAATTGCAAGAAACGCAGACAATATAGTATATAGTGAAAAAGAATTTTGCATACATGTATTTCTTTTATTAACAGTGTGAAACATGCAGTAAAATGCAGACGATATAGAGTATATAGTAATTGTAAGAAACGCAGACAATATAGATATATAAGCCGCGTCATGACAAAACCAACATAATGCGTTTGCGACCAGCATGGATCCAGACCAGCCTGCGCCTCCGCGCAGTCTGATCAGGATCCATGCTGTTCGCTTACAAACCCTATTACAAGTAGAGAAACTGATAGCGAACATCATGGATGATGATCAGACTGTGCGGAGGCGCAGGCTGGTCTGGATCCATGCTGATCGCAAACCCTCTATGTTGGATATTGGTTTTGTCATGACGCGGCTCATATAGTGAAAATGAATTTTGCATACATGTTTTTCTTTTATGAACATTGTAAAACATACTGTAAAATGCAGACGATATAGAGTATATAGTAATTTTAAGAAACGCAGACATATAGATATATAGTGAAAATGAATTTTGCAGACATGTATTTCTTTTATTAACAGTGTAGAACATGAAGTAAAATGCGGACGATATATAGTATATAGTACTGGCAAAGAAGCGCAGACAATATAGATATATAGTGAAAATGAATTTTGCAGACATGTATTTCTTTTATTAACAGTATAAAATATATATTCTAACACTCACGTGATTTTGTCACTATAGACAAAGAAGGAAAAAAACTGGTGTTAAACTGCCAATAAACACCGGTTAGGGACTACTTGTATATGCGCTGTTATGTTTTCACCCTCGATTGTATAGTTTACAAAGCATTTTAAAGCAACAATAAAAAACATTTTTATTTATATTTTCAGTTCGTATCATGTTTTTTTTCATACAATACCGAAATTATATCTCACATACACTAACGCGACATATTAGATCCATATCAGTTAATAAATATTTTGACAAAACGACGCCAATCCGTAAGCAGCGTAATGACGTCATCCTAAGTAAACAACTCATTGATAAACAAGCTGACGTTATTTCATACATACAAGAATGATAAATGGGGCGCTGATGTAAACACAATACGACATAAGTTTTTATTGTTGAAAACTTGATAAAATAACGTTTTTTTTTTTTCTTATTATTTCTTTTGTTTAATAATTTCTATATCTTCGCCACAGTAGGATGCGAGGATCGAACAGCGTTATGCGAAAATCGGCACCGGAAGTTATTTCCGCTTGAAAAATAACATTAGTGATTTTCCTTATTTTATCGTGTTAGAATCGAAATAACATCGGCCTGAGAGGTGTATATCGGCTATTTAACACCGGTTTTGTCGTTTTGATGCGTCAAAATTAACCACTCAGGCCTACGGCCTTCGTGGTCAATTCCTACGCATCAAAAGTCCAAACCGGTGTTAAATAGCCGATATACACCTCTCAGGCCGATGCTATTTCTTAAGTAAAATGCAGACTGTATAGAGTATATAGTAATTGCAAAGAAGCGCAGACAATATAGATATATAGTGAAAATAAATTTTGCAGACACGTATTTCTTTTATTAACAGTATAGAACATATAGTAAAATGCAGACGATATAGAGTATATAGTACTTGTAAAAAAGCGCAGACAACATAGATATATATATGCCTGCAATCTTTACTTTATTGAGACTTGATGGTAAACGTTTTTTGTTGTTTTTTCTCATATATGTAAAAAAATTTGAAAACCATTTTTTATCGTTGTAAAAGATGTCCCATTCGTGTTCAAATATCAAAATAATCGTGATAGAGTGTTAACAGGGGCGTATCACGTTCGGCACCACCTACAACTGATTAGCACCTGTACGTTTCACACATTTTCATACGACGGATACATTTCGAAAATGTTATTGTGCAGAATGTATAAGGAGCTCTGATTGAGAGTGTGTGTAAATAATAAACACTGAAATTGCCCTTTTAAAACGCATTAAGAAACTAGAGCGATCGTCTTTCAATTATACATTTCGATCCTATTCTCTGTTAAATACAGACCGCGTACCAACTACATTAAGCTAATGTTTCTTACTAAAGCATGATGATATGGAATAATACATGTAAAATCAAGTACATCACTACAGTCTTTCAAACATTAATGTTGTTTTGTTTAAAACCTTTTATCCTTTAAATGATTTAAAGTCGGCAACCTTGACCACTCGACTCCGGAGGCCCATTTACTTCATCTATTACATTACAATATTTTGTTTGTATAATGTTAGTCAATATTGTCAAAATGTGTGTATTATAAATTTCAGCATTCAAGTCTGCATTTTCTGTTACAAATCCAAAATTCTACAGCAGCATCAATGGATTTTACAAACTGACCTTTTCTTATACCATTTACCAGTATGGTAATGATTTTAGTATCTCGACAGGAACTTACACCTGTAGCAAATCCGGTGTTTACCATTTTTCTGTTACGTTGGTAAAGAAACGGTCATCATCAAGGGTTGATCTTGTTTCTTGTTATCTTTACAAGAATTGGCAGACTCTGATAAGAGTAAGAGTTGATCCAACTGATGATGATACAGACAAAGGAAATGCTGCTATATCACAGTCTATAGTGGTAAATCTTGATGTTGGAGACACTGTGTTCCTTACTGACTGCAGCAATCCGCCAAGCAAATACATGGAATATTGGTCTTCGTTTACTGGATTTCTCCTATATGACAACAATTGAATTTTGCATTTGTCCGGAAAAAAATTGTTCTTAACTAAATCTGTTGTTTATAATAATCTTATTTTCAATACGGTGCTTATGAAATTAACAATGTTTGTCTATGGTTGTGAAAAAAATAAATATTTAGTGATGACATTAAAAGCCCTTTTGCTAAAAGTACGAATTCATCCTGTTATGTAATTAAAGCCGCTCATCGGATTTTAGATGGTTTTTTTTGTATATCAAGTTTTTTCAACTAAGACGTTGATGCTTAGTAACGCATTTATAAAGATTTGCAGTGCTTGTAAATAACAATTTTGTCTGAAATTATGCTTTTGCTGAATGCAACAGAATCAGGGAGATGGTATTCTTTTTTATTAAACTGATAAGAATGCATTGTTGGAATAAGATTGACTGATGCTAATTGCTCACTAAATATGTGTCTGATTATGTTATTAAAGTTCATGTCTGTTCACTAAATAAATAAATTTGTGTACAAGACATAGTATTCAATTTCAGAATAAAGTTTTTAGTAGTTAACAAATGAGCAGTTATTATTAAGTTATAAATGTGATAAAACATCTAAAGACCGTTGCATGAATTTCCGATTTAATCTTCGTGAATTCACAATTTTAACTCTTCAACTTACGAATTCAACTTCATGAATTCACTGTTTAAACTTCACGAATTCACAAAATCAACTTCATGAATTCATGTTTTCAACTTCCCGATTTCAAGATTTCATTTTCACGAAGCTGAAATTGTGAATTCATGAAATTAAAATAGTGAATTCATGGAGTTGAATTCGTGACTTCAGTTTAAATCGTGAATTCATGAAGATGAAATATTGAATTCAAAAGTGAATCTCGTATATTCTTATATGTTTAAATTCAGAATTCTGTATGTCGAAATCGTGAATTTATGAAGTTGAAATTGTCAATTCAAGAAATTGAACCGGAGAACTCGAGAAGTCTTTCGTATTATACTGACAAATTGCAGTACTTTTTGCAGCAGTTTCTTTTTCAGTAAATGAACATGTTATACATATTTAGTTACCATGACAGCATTGACACACTAACCTTGACATTGGAGCCACTGACGTATCATGGTTACCTCAGTTGTCATGCTGGGTGTCTTCATGGAATTGTCGTCTTTCTCATAAACTTTACTGAATTGCACTTCCATTATAGCATATAATGTTTTGAGTTTTGAAACTTTGTAATAGATTTGTTATATTAGTTTAAACATAGATTAAATAATTTCTTTTCTTTACAAGCTGATATTCTATTTACAACTATGTGTATTGGTAGAGCATAAGATTGTATATTCAGCTATTACCTTGTTTATGGTATCTTATTATATATTTAAATAGCAGTTTAACATGCAATATTTGAACACTAACTCTGACTGATATTTTACTGACGAAAGTGATGGTTACTCTCCTTGTTTATTCAGAAAATAACTAGAACACTCATCGTATAGAAGTCCTGAACCTATCGAAACATTTATTTGTCAATGTTCTTTTATTATTCAGGTCCCAGTGTTCTTTTATTATTCAGGCCCCAATGTTCTTTTCTTATCCAGGCTCCATGTTCACCAAATAGGACCAAACGTCCTGATTATATTGAAACCAACATTGGTCACATCGGGCTTAAATTTTATAGTACATGAAAAAACGTTGAACAGGTAAGTGTTTGTTAGCAAACGTTAATGAATTTAAATCTGTCTGAAGCGACACAGTCGCGCGACAGATTTAATGGAGTTAATGACAATATAACAAACACTTGGTTGAAATTAACAAAGCTAGAGTAAGACACGCTGATTTAACGATGTAGTATTAAATGAAAAGTTGGTGCAGATTTAAAGAATTAAATCACTGTATCAAAGACTATGAAAATAAAAACGATTTGGTTGGATAAATTATTATTTCAACCCATAGTTTTAGATAAAATTTATTGCTGATATATAGAAACATAACACTGTAAAATATAAGGATAATTCATTCAAAGTAAGGATCAATTTTAGGATCAAGCACAAAATTTCGATCAACTTGTAAAGTTATGATATTTTTATTTTTCTAAACTTCCATAAAGATGCTAGTTAGTTCCATAGGTGCGTGGTTCTTTTAATTTCATCCATATATATACTTTGAATAATTTGTAGAATATATGGATGAAATTAAAAGCAAGCACCGACTGCATGTGGTTAGTCAACATTTATCAGATTTTTAGTGGTCCCAGTATTTTGCGGATATGTAAACGCTATTTAACTTAAAAATGCCTGAATATGAATAATAGCTGTTTAAATAAACAATGTAGACATGTTGTGTATTTGAAAAGAAAATCGAATTTACTGGAATCCTGGTAATGACACCCAAATTCAAACATTTATTAATTTAATATCAAATTAATTTGATAGGTTATATCCGTTGGTTTGTGTGCTTGTTGTGTAATGGTTTCTTGATATTTGTTTAATTTTACTATATTGTTTTATTTAAGGCACATTATGGCCAAAAAATGCTTTAATTCTCATTTCTTAAAATCTTTCTATTTTTTGGTGTACTTCTATGGTTTCCAAAACATTACTCACCTGCCATCTTCAGTCTTCTGTTGATTTGTGGCCATAAGTACAGTTATAGTGATTTAATATTTTATATCGAAGTCAAAATACTACTTTGTTCATGGCAAATAATTTCACAAAAATGTATTAAGATTTTAAGTAAAACGATTCAATATTAAAGTAATAATTTACATGTTCGAATTACCAAATTTCTACTGTGTAACTGCATGTTTTAACCTCTTTTTGGTAATTTGCGTGGAATGTAAGTGTAAATTACTTTCTTTGTTCACTTCACAATATTTTACTTAGAGTATGTTTTCAAAATTTTCATGAAAATTAGCATGAATCTGGAAGCATGCTGCTTTAAATTATGGGCAGAACGAAAAAATGTATCTACAAATCAATACAAACATTGAATTATTTCTTCAGAATATTTAATATATCCTTATAAAACATTGTATATCTACATAATAGGCAATAACAATAATGTAAAAATCAACAAACAATAACAAGAGTCAATCCTGGAAGACAGAACACAAATCGTTTTCAACATGTAAAATCATAGCCAAAAAGTAAGCAACAGCTTATATGCAATTGGTCAAAGTGGCTTACATTCAAAATGAAGATACATGCTCAAACCTCCTGTGTTGTTAGAGAAACATTTTTTTCAGACATGTTTTTATTGTTGTTTTTCTATTCAAAACCTTAAAGTACAACAAATGTATCTAAATGAGGCAATTTTGAAAACAATTTAAAAAAATAAGTAGACATCTTGAAAAAAAAATTACATATGAATAAAGTTTCCTCCTCCCTTTACAAAGTAATTCAAAGCACCAAGGAGAAGTGTAAGAGGAACTTTATCATGAGCATAATTTCAAAACTATAGACAAAATGGAATGTTATACATGTGAAAATGATAATCAACTGACTAGAAGAAAAATCAGACAAAGAGTTCCAATTTCAAGAAGAAATTATGATTTTCAAACCTCAATATTCATGGAAAATATAGAATAAAAATAAGTGTGTAAAACATAAATGACACCAAAGATCTCTACAAAAAAAAAGTCTGCTAAAAGAAAAAACAGAAAAAAGAAAGGTGTAAGCAAGGGGGACATTTAGTGAAAGAAAGATTTGAGAAAAAAATTAAGACAAGAAAGATGGGCAAGACTAAGAAAACTAACACAAAGAAAGCAAAATCAAGAAAAAGTAAGGAAACTTCAGCAAAGACTTTAAATTAAGTTAAAGTACATAGATAGTGACAAAGGATAGATAATGGGACAAAAGAAAGAAATAATAACAGACATATCATGAGAGGGAAATTCATTAACGGAACAAAACAGACACAAAACACAAACTCTGACTACATTTAAAATATATGGGTAAAAAAATACATTTTGAAGAAGTTTCTAAAAATATATATGAATTTAGATGATCATTTATGGAATGCAGTTTCTTTGGAATATGTAACTTAGTTTGATTTACTTCATCTCATAAATACATTGATTTAGTTGCCAAGAGTGATAACTCTTGATAATTATTCAGCTTAGTTGACACACAAAAAAGTTCCAAAACAAAACTTTGTATGTGTGTGTGTAAAAGTAACCACTATTAGTTTCTAAATTACATTAACACTGCTATCTTACAAGAATAAATTTTGTAAGTTACGAAAAGTCATTAAAAATGCTTTGGTGTAAAATGTTTAAGTCTTTTAATGGCATTTTGCCAACTTTTGGTACATTTTAATATATAGCACATAATCGTGTTAACACATCATCATTATTCATGACAAACTTATCTCATGTTCTTATCTATCGACAAAGCACCGTTTACATGACAAGGCATGTTAACAATCCAGAAAGCACCCAAGCACGTTTCAGGCACGTGTTTCAACCCCAGATTTGTTTCTCTTCTCTATCTATAGAGTCTAATTCCAAGGTTGTTCACACATCACTCTCAAACATTTGCTTCTTTCGAGTACCGCCAGAATTAACGTTCTGTAACAACAGTTCCATTTTCAAACGCCGAATTTCATTGTCACGTGCCTGAAGTTGCAGCTGTAACATTTTGGCATTCTGTGTCGTTGACATTTCACCTTTGACCTCGGAGAGCAGGCTTTTCTTCAACTGTAATTAAAGTAGCAGAATTTTCTTAGGCTAGAAAAATAAAGAATTGTTTGCATATTATTATATGGTGATTAACAAATTTATGCATGCTTGCCAATTAAAAACTCTACCCTTATTGATTAAATTGATGTTTTTTTCTGGCTGCCATATTTGTTTATCCTTTTCTTACTCTAATAACACAAGTATTTCATTCTTGGTGAAAACCAAGTACCACTCAAGTCGGTGCTAGGGGGCATGAGCAATGTTGCACTTGTTCACTATCCCTCATGTACAGACTCAATCAAACCAAGTCCGCAATTTTCATGTAATTTACTTGTGATTTAATGCTTCCAAGGAATTGCCCTTTTTCTACATCATTATAGAAAATGTGGCAGTTACTAGAGTTGGGCTGGGGCCTAATATCCAAGCTCATTACTGCATACTGAAATCCTTGATTGTAAAGTTCAGTTTCAAAACAGAACAAATATAGCAGTATAATAATTTATAGCCTTATTTGCTGTACACATAACTATAGCAGTAGCATAGAAAACACTATGTTTAACATGTCTGCCTTTCTTCTTAACTAAAATGAAATGTCTCCAGCATTTCAAGGCCCATCAAGGCCTCAGAATTGCTATCATTCTAATTTCTCAAAAACTTTTTATTTTTGGTATCTTGTTGCGGTTTGCCAAACAGATGGAACTATCTTTACTTTTTCTTTGTTGGAAATTGCTATAATCATTGTGAATCAGTATTTTGTATGAAGTCAAAATAACTTTATGTTTTGCTACCTTTACGACACATAACTGTAGTTCAGCGTCACTTTCTTCCACTGTTTAACATGTAACATGCTCTAAAGAAATTTATACATATGGATTTCAGAGTCATAATGTGCCTTTTACTGAAATTTTGCAATATTTACCTCTGCTATTCTTTGATTCAGTTCTTCAGCCTGTTTCTGTTCAGCTGAAGCCAGTGAAGATTTGATATCTGACATCTGATTGGATATATCCGACATCCATGACTCACTTACTGACGACATATTGGAGCAAGCTGATTGGCTCCTGGTTGTATCAGCCTCGATTTCATCTTCCGTGAAACTAACGTCCCTTCCGATACACATTTGTTGGTGGTACAATTGTTCTCGTAACAAATCTATCATCTGTAATTCAATTATAATTATTTCATCACTAAAAATGCAAATCAAATATATAAACTGGTGAAGATGTCAAAGAACATGTGTACTCATATCTTTATGAAAGACACTTATGCTATAATGCAAACAATTTATGAAGATTAAATGTATACTGTTGCATTTTAGCTGTGAAATTACAAATTCCACTGAATTTTCATCATCCAACTTACATTTTTTTCAAAAACTTCATCATACCATTTCATGAATAAATTTCATCAAATTTATACCATTGAACAAATATCGAATTTCACAAAGTTTATAACATTGAACTTATAAAACCAAATCATTGATTTTATGCTACTGAAAAACATACTTATACATAGTATTATTATTCAATACAAATCCACCAAATTTACACCATTAAACACTCATTTCTACCAAAAGTCATACCAAGTTTATACCATTAAAATTCATTTCTACCAAAAAATTATACCATTTAAATTCTACTTACAGATTGTATAATTTCAAGTGCATCTAAGGGACTGTAAGTTTCATTGCCGGCCATGATGGCTTTTATACGCTGTGACAGTAGCTCCTCCATTTTGATGGCCTCCTTTCTGACCTCACACCACAGGTGTTGCAACTCTTCAACATCACATCTATAAATATAGATAATTACTGTAACTGACATGTTTCTGGGATTTTTTTGGATAACATTAAGTTATCCAAAAATTCGTGAAACATATTATAATATCATGAGAATTTTTGTATCAAATGATTGTGTAGATCAATATTTTATGTATAATTTGTTGTAAATAAATGTATTCATGTAGCAATGTTTTTATTGAAACATTTTGTTTTTATTTGACAAAGTTTCTATTTCCACATTTAACCTCACGTTTGTTGAGCAAATAGTTAAACGGACGATTCGTCATTTGTTATTTCATAAACGTCAATCAGATAATATGTTGAAAGTCAAAGCGTTTGTTTAAATTGAACAAAACAATATGAAAAAAAAGAGTTTTGCATACAGAATATTTCCATTTATAAAGTATATTACTTACGTTTGTAAACTAACAAAAGTAATAATAAGGTTTCCGAAAGTCCTAGCAGTGACAGCGTGTGCAGACATTTCCACGGATAAAGAAGGTCATTAAAAAGATTTGTTGCTGTTGTAAACCATTCACGACGGTCCTGGAATCGGTCTTGGCCTGCTGTATTCACCTTTTTGCCTGCCTCCGTTATGCCTCCTGACAGGTCAACCATACTGATAGTACTGCTCGTAGCTTGTCCTAACTGGTGATAATGCGCCGCATTAACTTCACGGTATATGCCCAAAAGCTCCGCAAAAGCTAAAGCCCCCCCCCCCCCAACACACACATTTCTGCTTCACTCCAATGTCGTTATCATAGGGTTTTCCATGATGTCAAAGTAACCAATGTAAAAACGTCTGACCTTTGAATGACCATAATGTTGTATTGTTGGTGTATAGGGACAATAATATGTCTCTGCTCCAATTAAACAACTGAAAAACGTGGGATACATGCTTTCCATTATTACTTTGCGAGAACCCGATAAGACATCTTGCATCGGAACCATCTCTAAAAAATGCTAAATTAAATAAAACAAATGAATCTGTTTAATAAATTTTATAATATAAGGAGAAACGTTTGGTGCCAAGCAATAGTTAAGTAGTATACATGCTTATTAGGAAACAACAATAATATTCGAATATAACCCTACAATATAAAATAGTTCGGGTTAATGAATCAAAACTGCAGTAACATTACCTTTGAAAATAATTGTTTCCGTAAATATAATTTTAAGTTTGGAAACCTCTATATTTGTTGTACATGTATATAGGTTACAAGTAATTCAAAAAAAGAATTTCAAATTACCTTTAAACTTTTTACATGATACGATTAAACAACATTTTTCCTCTGTAAAATCAATATTTTTTCCCATTGAACAATGCATAAATTTTAAAAAGGTTATAAAACTCGGACGCATTTTCAAATATGAGTAGTAAATTTTTACCTTGACACCAGCTACGAAAAATTCCAAATTCCATTTAAATCTGTAAAATTGTTACTTTTTAAAGAAAACCTAATTATGTTAAGTAGCCAGGATTAGTTTTCAGTAACTTTTTTGATTGATTTAACAAAACATTATCTTATTATTTGATTTTGAATGGTGATGTAATATGCCAGATCACGGTTCGTAGATAACCTAATCTTGGATTCAACCGAGCCATCTTTTTTCATAAAATTGGTCCGACTCCAGACCATTCTATTTGAAAAACCCTGCCTGTATGAATGAAATATGTACTTTTTATTTTTAAGTGAATGGCACATGCACAAAATCATTGCAGAAAAATACTTTACCTTAAAAAGCAACATTTTGTTCTGGAACCTTTAATGTTGACTATGTACAACATGAATGTGTGTTAAATAATATAATCAGTCTCTGTTACAACTCTATTAAGAATAGACCAAAACATTATAAAATCAAAACATTTAGTTATCTATAAGTTTTACAATTATGGATTTATACATTTTAAATGAAATAAATTTGATAAACTATTCAAAGGACGTTTTTTATTAATTCATACAGAATTCATAATGATGGCTTAAAATGAGGATATAGAAATTTATGCATTAGCTTAAGCCTTTATATAATTTGAATTTCCTTCAATGAATAACTGTAGGTTAAAATTTTATTTTAAATTCAAACTTATATCAGTAACGCTTGACTGACTTTGTTTACTTCTATGTATGACATTTGACGATAAATGCAAGATGAGCTGGTGGTTAATCCCCAAAGATATGTTCTATGGAAGCGCGTTATGGTCACAATAACATTGCAAATTGATATAAATACTTAATCGATTTGCTTTGTAATATCATGTAAATGAAAAGCGCCATATAAATAAGAAGTATAGGAAATATACTACAGAATTTGATATTCGTACGTGAACGTTGATATATGAAATGAATTTGATGTTTAGTGTACAAATATACTGTTTGCCATATCAAACGTTTTTCAAAAAAACACATTTGTATTTATATTTATTTATAGAGATAAACAATGACCCGCCAATTTACTTCGGATAATGCCGGGTATTCGAATAAAGGGTTGTCCAATTACCAGGATCAGAGTGTTTTTGATTTGCAAATTGTGTCTATCATGTTATACGGATCTGATCCTAAGGGCTTTAAGCAATCGCAATATAGAGGGACAAAACAGTACAAGAAGTAGCTTAAATACTTTAAAGATTGAATGTAATTAAAACGAGGATTCTATTTAAATCTATTAAAAGTAGTGTTTGGTTAAAACTACCTAATCTGCCTCGAGATATAAATATGCAAAATGTTTTATCTGATGCTAATTTTAATGACTCTATATAATAGAAATTCAATATAAAAAATGGTCACCTTAAGTGTGGCTTAATTAAAAATGGTTTGAATAGATTAATTAGTGAAACACAATATGCTGCTAACCAAAACTATATTTACTTCAATAGATATACTTTTGATAGGATCAAATCTTAGCAATTTGGCTGTAATGGTATATCGAAAAATATGTAGCTGTCGTTATTATTGTGAGGTTGAAGATTTTACCACTGTTATATGAATTGATTGATTAAATACTGGTAGGGCTAGAACTCGTAACTAATAACAGAGAAAGTAAAATAATACACTGTTCATAGGGAATATAGTATATGTATTTCCTGTGCAACTGTTCTGCAAGATGATTATTATTGTATGCCACTTCACTGCGAAAAAGATTCTGATATACGGGAATATACGGTCCCGTATTTTTGACATATACGGGCGTGTACGGGATGTATTCGTCGAATATACGGACCAAGTATACGAGTCCGTATAGGGAACACCGGGTATACGGGAAGTCCGTATATGCATCAGGCATATACGGAATTCCGTATTTGCTCCATATACATGTACGTATATTTGTTCGTACTTTTGAAGTATACGGAGAATTTAATCCCGTATACGGACTATATCAAGGTTGTTATCCCTAGTATACTATAAATATACCAAGGATATACGGGACCGTATTTTCTACATATACAGAGGATATACGGACCCGTATTTTCTACGTATACAGAGGATATACGGAACCGTATATTCTACATATACATAGGATATACGGACTCGTATTTTCCACATATACAGATGATATACGGAATCGTATTTTCTACATATACAGACGATGTACGGAATCGTATTTTCTACATATACAGGGGATATACGGAATCGTATTTTCAATATATACAGGGGATATACGGAATTGCATTTTTAGTTGTCCACAGGGAATACAGAACTGTATTTTCGTGATAAAAGAAGATACAGATAATATCAAAAGCATGCATTTACATATAAGTGACACGTATGCTAGACCGAAATGCAGACGTGTACAATAGAACATGTTTTATTACACATTTTGAATGGGAACTGTAAAGTCATATGCTTAAGAACTTTATCTTCACAATTGGAGTATTTCAAATGATAAAGTAAAAACCAAATCGAGTCACTCTTAAATATTTATTATTTCATAAACATATATTCAATATGTATACATATATTAAACAAAATAAACATGTCTTCGCTACAACAGTCATATATTGTTGCAAGCCTTATTCCAGAGGGACAAATTAATGTAGCGTTGCAACGGAACGGCGATATACCGTTATGTTGCGATACAGAGTCATGAAATACGCATCACGGTGGAGAAAATCCGCACTGCGATATTTTCTTTAGAGATCGAATTATACATGTACAGTTTTCGATATTTTCAAGCCGTAACCTTTATGAATTGCATGTTATTTAAATCTAGAAACAACTATACCAACTTGAAGTTCTTTTCTATTTATCTTAACAATGATTTTTATGAGCCACTAGTATTACACCTATAAAACATTTTAAAGATATTCATATCATTTGTTCGTGTTAACATTCACATAATATTTTAGGAAAATGAGTCCATAGCACAAATTGATTATTACAGAAAGTTTTAATAATAATCATTATAACTAAAAATCCGTATTCACAGAAATTCGTCATTCAAACACAGTTCTTAAAAGCACTTAAATACATGTATATCAAGCATCTATATGAATGCTACGTAGACCAGTGTGACGGTGTCTATTTCGTGACGTAGGAAATGTTATCTCCAGATATTACAATCTTCTTCGGCATGTGTGTATCTGAAAAAGAGAGTTTAAAATCTTGTTTAAATAGTGTCTTGAAATAGTTATCACATCTTTCAAAAAGACTATACACAGGCATTTTTTAAGCGTATACATATATACATTTTTTTCTTACGCAAATTTCAAAATTATTATATATTATTAGGATAAAGATGTCATTTATAAGCAACCATTTACACAGGATTTAAATGAAATGATTAATCTATGACGGATGATATGTTATATGTGTTTGTTATAAAACCTTTACGAATATATTTATTTCACACCTGTAATATAAATGATAATGGTATCTTTGTTCTATGTAAAGAGTGTTTTATTGATAAAAAATATATTAATACAAAATAACATTGTATTGGGAAAAAGTGCTGACATAATCTTTTTGATCGTTTTACGATGTATATTAGCATCGTTAGTAGGATTCAATTCGTTTGAAAAAAGGCTTAAAAAGTACAGATATTTGCTACTCATATGTAGAT